GGAGACGTAGGCTGCTCGGTTCGAAGTGACTGCTGCGCCCACTCCCTCTGGCTGTGGGGCCGCCCCCTCCCCACTCCCGCCCCTTTCCCCCGGACTGCCGTTCCAGCAGCCAATCAGGAACTCCGGCGCTCGTCTGTTGGCTGTCACTCAGCTGTCAACCTTCAATCAACAGTCCAGTGGCCGCGGATGCCCACCTGTCAGCCTGTCAGTGGGCAAGCAGAGAGGTGCATTCCTTCGTTCCTACTTTTGTTGGTTCCTTCGTTCATTCAGCAAATATTCCATACTGCCAAACTTTATTGCGCCAAGGCTCGGTGCCAAGTCAAATACCCCATGCTTGCCTTCGAGTAACTAGGTATTAGATGCCAACTCTGTGTCAAGTCAGTCCTCGGGGTCACCTAGATGCTTAGATTCCAGAGGAAGAGACAAAAATAGTTCCAGCGGACCAATAAATGAAGATAGTGTTAGGTGCTCCTCAGTTTCATGAAGACGATAACACAAAATAATGGGAGAGTGACTAGGGGTGGGGACTGCTTTATAGATAGGATGGTCAAGGAGGACCTTCCTGAGGAGGGGACATTTGAACTGACCCTTGAATTTGAGAAGGAAGAAAGTTCTGGCGAGAGAGAGACAGAGAGAGAGAGAGAGAGAGAGAGAGGGAGGGAGGGAGGGAGAGAGAGAAAGGTGCTAACACTGCTGATCTGGAGGGCTGGACCCAGGCAAAGCAGTAAACATAATAGAGCTAGACCAACAGAGTGGCTCTTGGAGGAGGAAGAGATGAACTTTGAGGAATGTTATCTCAGAAGTGAGTGAGGCAGTCTGAAACTCAAAGGGAGGAAGAAAGAATGACATGAGATAAGCCCCGCAGATATGAAGGTTGGGGGTGAACTTGGTTCCAGGCATGGAATGGATGATTTGTGCTGTGGACTGTTGAAACTAAAAACGAGCATTGAGGGCTTAGCTAAACCTCCCTGCCGGTTACTGTGTGAATGAAAATGGTCAGATTTTAGAAATGTGCCTGGGCCGCAGACACAGTTGTCCTCCTGCAGGTCCCCCTCCCTTCCCTGAGAGCAGTGCTCACACACCTGAAACCAGTAAACCCAAGCTCTTAAGCAGCTTGCCCAATTTTAGGCCAGGATCTAGCTGTGCTGTAGTTTCCCAGAGCCTGCCCAGGCTTATGGGGAGCACCACACCCTCGCTCTATCTCCAAACGGATCATTTGGCCGTTGCCCATACAACTGTTGCTTGCCTGTTCCCCAAGGGGAACTCTGTAATAAGAAAGCCAAGTACACTTTCCTTCTGAAGCAAGCTCTCTTGTCTTCCTCCTTCTCCCACTGCCAGGTGCCAGGACCAGTCAGGTTCAACATATTTCCTCTAAAGCTCCGCCAGAGAGCCCTGGGTAAGGCCCAGCTGATAACATCAAGGTTTGACATAGGGCCCCAAGAAAATACTTGACCATCAGGGACCCTTCTCCCCATGTACGGAAAGATGCCAGCCCAGCCGGCAAAGATCTGCACAGCCATAAAAATCACTGAGTATCACAAAGAGACAAAAAGCAAAGGGCCTAAATTCTTGACATTAGTAGAGCTCTTAGAGTTTTTTTCAGGTGCGTTTACAGAAACTCAGCTGTGACCTTGAATGTGACACTTTGAGTCTCACAGGGGTATAAGTGAGGTTTTCGATCCCATGGGAAAGACCAGAGCCATGGGCAGGAGTGGCTTTGGGAGGTGCAGAAGCCTCTTCTCTGGAGAGCTAACAACAAAACAGACCAGACATGTCACTAATGAAACAAAAACGACATGCAGAGCCTCTGGCAATTCACCTGGGCTTTGGTTCCCAGTGAGTCAGAGGAGACAAAGCCAAGCAAGAAGTTGGTATTGGGTGAACAGAACAGGAACCGCTGAGAAAAGCAACACATCATTTTTTTCCAGTGAGAACTAGCTGGTGGAAGAAAGAAAAGGCCATTTGGTGACAGTATAGGACAGAAAAGGAGAAAAAAAGCTTTTCTCCCTCAGCCTAAACCAGAGTTTCCAAAAGCGTCTCTTGGGAAAACCTCTGAATGCAGACCCTGTGAGAAGCCAAACAGCCCTTGGCAGGGTCGGCAAGGTGTTCAGGCTACAGACACCCTATGTGGGTGACCCCAGGAGACCAAGTGTGGACCCAGAGACTGGTGACTTGAGCATCTGCTGCTAAGGTTGCCAGGACATAGAAGGCACCTTCAGGATCTTGGTGGATCTGCAGTCCCCCAGGAAGGCCAAGCTGGCATAAAGGTGCAGCCCAAGTGTTGGCTGGGAGCTGCCTCACCTATGGCACTTGGAGAGTGACTTTCAGTCTTGTGCCAACAGTACTCAGCTCCAAGCTGGAGCTGCCCCAGATGTATCGATGGCCCCTCTGGGCCACAGCCGAGGAGTCAGGTGTGTTTGGCAGGAGGTGGAGGGCATCGGCTCTCCCTAGGAGGAGTCCCTGGCTCTCCTCTTCCAGACCCCAAGTGAGAGAGCCACAGCTTGTGCAATGTTTGTTGAAAGAGGCCATGGAAGTGCCTCTAATTATCACCACGATAATTATAGGATTTCTCCTTTCACCAAGTGTGTTCAAAGGATACTGGGGGAGTCTCCCCGGGATGCATCATCTGCCTCAGGCACAGATTCCCAGGAGCACGCACTGCCAGGTTTGGTGGGCTGCTTCGAGGGTCAAAGACAAAGACTCAGGTCTGACCTGGGCCCTACCAGTCCCTCCAACTCACCTATCATCCCTTACCTCACCCTCTCCACCCCACACAGGTGTACTTTTTATGCAGGCAGTGACCTACCTGTAGCTTTCTGATGGGGTGTTCTTTTTTTACTTCCAGATCTCTGACCAACCACTGGAGCCTTTCTCATTGCCTTATAGTTTTGGCTTCAGGCATGGCACCACTGAGTGAAACCCCCGGCCCATGCTCTTTTTTACTTTTTCTTCCTCTCTCTCTCTTTCTCTCTCTCTCTCTGGTCTTCAAAATGAATAATTGCTATCCACATATCTTGATTCCTCTTACAGGAAGTCTCACCAAACCAAGCCTAGGCTGGTTCTCCTCCCCTGTGCTTCCACTGTCCCCTGAATTTACCCACCTCATAACACTTGGCACAATGAACTCTTGTGCCTTTCTGCTTGTCATTCTTTCCCTTAGACTGTGAATGCTTTGTGGGAAAGGACTGTGGCTCGTTGCCAATTACACCCCCGTGCCCGACATAGGACTTAACTCAGAATAGAAGCTCAGCGTTTGTGGAATGAATGCTTGAGTGAGGGAGTAGGCAAAACAGGATTCAGAACAACTGGTTCAGCATGGTGCTGTGTTCAGCATCTACTCCTGTCCCCCACAATTCCCTTCCTGACTGAAAAAGAGAATCGTTAAGAGCCAGCCATGATGGCTCATACCTGTAATCGCAGCACTCAGGAGGCTGAGGCAGGAGGATCATCACAAATTTGGGGCCAGCCTGGGCTATATAGCGAGTTCAAGTTCAGCCTGAAGTACACAGTGAAACCTTGCCTTGAAAAACCAAAACCAGACTCAAAAAGAACTCAGACAAGTGAGTGTGACAGCCCATGCTTGTAGTTTCAGCATTCTGGTAGGTAGAGGAGGCTTACAAGTTTAAACTCAACCAAGAAAGAAGGAGAGTGTGGGGGGAGAAGAAAGCCCTTAAGGGCAGTGAAATCTATATGTTAACCACATTATAGGGAGACAGAAGATTAAAAAGTAAGGTATATGGTAAGCTTTATTAAATATCAGGTCACTTGTATTCTTTCAACACAAATTTGTTTTATTGTTTACTCATTCATTCATTCATTTTTGTGGTACTGGGGACTGAACCCAGGACCTTCATACTGAGCTGCATCCCTACCCCCCCCTTTTTTTTTCTTTGTGACAGGATCTCACTAAATTGGCCAGGCTGGGATCATACTTTCAACTCTCCCTCCTTAGCTTCCCAGAATTCTGGGATTAGAGGTATGTGCCACGAAAGCCCAGCCTGAGCTTTTCGAAACGATAAATTTGTCTGAATAAATTTAAGAAATCAGTAAATATCTTTTCAAATATTTTATGCACCATTCTCTTTCTTTCTCTAAAATTCAAATTACATATGTAGATCTTTCAGTGTTGCATCACAGGTACATGGTGCTCTGTTTAACTTTTTTTTTTAACAGTACTGGGACTCAAACCTAGTACCTTGCCAGGCAGGCATGGCACCACTGAGTTAAATCCCTGGCCCATGCTCTTTTTCAACTTTGTTTATTTTCTTCCTCTCCCTCTCTCTCTCTCTCTCCCTCCCTCCCTCCCTCTCTCTCACTGGTCTTCAAAATGAATAATTACTATCAACATATCTTGAACTTCATTCACTTCTTTTGCGTCTTTGTTCTGCGATTAAACATATTGAGTAATTTTTCATTTCAATTACTATAGTTTCCAGCTCTACAATTCCATATTGTTCTTCTGCAGTTTCTCTTCTGGAGTTTCACGTCTCTTCCTTTGTTATGACTGCATTTTCCATGAAGACCTTTAAAATTATGAGTTGCTTTTAAGTCCTTGTTGCTAATTCCAACATCTGGGTCATTGCTTTTTGAGTGAATTTTGAGTATTATTCAGAATTTTCTGCTTCCTTGTTTGTCTAGTACGTATTGTGTGCTGAACATCATCAACAATACATTGTAGGGCTGGGGATTTAGCTCAGTGGTGCTGCCACCTGACTCACAAGCACAAGGTCTGCGATTCAATCCCCAGTACAAAAAGGGAAGCAAGAAAGCAAGAAAGAAAAGAACAGTACATTGCAGAGCGCTGGGAATGTAGCTCAGTGGCACCATGCCTGCCTGGCAAGAGCAAGTTTGAGACCAGCATGGCCAATTTAGTGAGATCCTGTTTCCAAAAAAAAAGGGTTGTGGATGTAGCTCAGTGTGAAAGCCATGAGTTCAATCCCTAGTACCAAAACAAACGAACAATCAAGAATAAATTGTGGAGATCTTAGATTCCGTCATGTCCCTCTTGAGATATTCATTTTTTTTCCTAGCAGGCAATTAACGTAGCAGAACTCAAATTCTAAAATTGGTTTCCTTTGTACAGGCAGCAGCTGAAATCTCCACTCATTCTTTTAGCTTCCAGCAGTTGCTTTTTCTGGAACCCTGGAGCCTCCTGCACGTAGATGCGATTAGGTAGACAGCCAAAGGTTTCGACGGAATTTATGTACAGATGTGAGGGCCTATTTGCTCTACAGCTCATTTCTTTCTGGAATTTTCCTCTTAATTTCTAGCCACTCTCTTGCATGGAAACTCTACTCTTTACACCCAATATGACTCTGACTAAGACTAAAATTTTCTATGTATCTCCACCTACCACACAAATTAAAGTGCATGTTTTGGAGCAAAACTACTCATTTTATGGCCAAGAACTGAAAGAGAAAAGAGGAAAGGGACTGGGGCTTTAAAATCTCCTTCAGGGTCACACACCCAGTGACCCAAAGACGTCCTGTCAAGTCACACCTTAAAACTCTACCACGTCCTGGTAGCGTCATGGGCTATGGACCAAGCCTTCAATGCATAGGCCTTTGGGATTTACTTATAATGCAAACTGCAAACCAAGCATGGTGGCTCATGCCTGTAATCCTAGCACTCTGGGAAGCTGAGGCAAGAGGATCCCAAATTCAAGCCCAGCCTAGCCAACATAACAAGTGAGTGAAACTCTGTCTCAGAATAAAAAATAAACTGGGTATGGTGGTACACAGCCATACTCCTAGCACTGAGGAAGCTGAGGCAGGAGGAGCGCCCTTGAGTTGGAGACCAGCCTGGGCTACATAGTGAGTTCAAGGCCAGCCTGAACTGTATAGTGAGATCCTATCTCAAAAAACCAAAAAATAAAGGGGCCAAGGATGTAGCTCAGCAGCACCTCTTTTGCCTGGCAAGCACAAGGTCCTGAGTTCGATCCCTGGTATCAAAAAAAACAAACCAACAAAAACCCCTATTTAATTAATAAAAGGGCTGGGGATATAACCCAGTGTGAAGGCCCTACATTCAACTCCTAGTACTGAAGAGAAAAAACAAATGAAAACTATAGCAACATCTTCCCCCAGCTTTTTTTTTAATCACAGTCTCTGATATTTCTCTTATTTAAATCAAGTGCCTAGTGTTAAGACTACACCTATGTCTTCTGAGTTATTTTATTTTTATTTCTCTGAGTTATTTTATGGCTACATTTTCTACTAAGACCTTGAAAATGTAAGAATTGCTTTAAAATCTTCATTGCTAACTCTAAGATCTGGGTCATCTAAGTTAACCTCTATCCTTGAGGCCGGTCCATCCTCTCCTGAGTCCATCCTCCTCTTCCTAAGAATACAAAATATTTTAAATTTAGCCAAGAGCCTGAAAAAAACAAAACAAAAAACTTCTTAGAAGCGGCCCCATGCCCCCAGCCTGGTTATACCCGTTTCTGCCTCCTAGCAGCTACCCTGGCAGTGAAGCCCCAAAGGGCAATTCCAATACCAGAATGGGACCTGGAAAGCACAAAACCAGATTTAAATAGTTGCTGTAACTGAGGCCCCAGTTAGTGTGTCAAGGGAACTCAGACCTGATCAAGGAGAGACAGAAAAAAACATTTTCCCCCCGAAATGGGGATTGAACCCAGGGCCTTTGCACTGAACTACCCAGCCCTTTAAAAAGAAAAAAAAAAATTTTTTTTTTTTAAATCTTGAGATAGGATCTCACTGAGGCCCAAAGTTGCCCAGGCTGCGCTCCAATTTGTAATCCTCTTGCCTCAGCCTCCTGAGTAGCTGGGATTCCAGGTGTGTGCCACCATGGTCAGCTGGAAGAAAACTCTTAACACCCTATTTTTAGATGACAGCTGAACAGGAGGTTGGGTTATAGTGGAGAGGACTCAGCTGCTATGCTCAGATTGGCCCTACAAGATAAAAATGTCTTCAGGACTCCTCCCCAGGGAAACCTTTCCTATGTGGCACACCCTAAGGGGACTAGTAGCTGGGGTCTTCTGTATCACATGTAAAGTCTGTAGGTTTCAGTAAGTAGTGAGGACCACAGAGGGGTTCCCAGCACCCTGACATGCTGTGGGGAAGGGAGGAGAAGGTGTTCTGTTTATTGGGGGCCCCCTGTGTACCAGGTGCTGCACACCCTTTATGTTACGTCACCTGCTACCACGGTGCCCTTTCTCATCGCTGGGTCCCCTTTTGCCTAACAGAACAGATACCCGCAAAATATTTCATCATGTAGCGAAATAACTACCATTTATCGAGTGCTAATTATGTACCAGGCACTCCCGAAAGTGCTCGTATCTCTTAACTCACATATTTCCTGGATGAAAAAAGTGATAAGAACCCCATGTGGCTAGGTCTTTTGTCCTATTTCCCATAAGAGGAAACTGAGACAAAAAGATAAAGAAGTGGTCGAAGGGCAGCCAGGTAATAAATGGAGAGTAGAGCTAGGCTTTGAGTCCAGGGAAAGGTGGCACCCCAGGAAGGGACAGGGAGGTCTGGGTTGGAGGTGGAGGTACAAAGAGAGTAATCGAGTGGTCACTGAAGGCGGTGCTTCCAGGGAGGGAAGAGGAAAGGCTGGTGAAGGTCTGTAGGGCCTCTGCCAGCTGGCTGTTTCTTAGAGCAAACTCTCAGATGCGGCCACAAGACCTTGGGCCACTCCCTTAAGAAACACTGACTTCATGTCCTCAAGGACCACACCCCTTCCTCACAGGAAGAAGCTGAAACGAACCTCAAAATTCGCCCTGGCCACTGCAGAGATTAAGGCTGGGAGGGGAGTGCAGGCTGCTGCCCTTGGTTTACAGAGTGTTTCTGGTCCGGTCCTGTCCCGGTGGCTTTGGGCTGGGGCAGCGCTGGGGTGGTAGGAGGCTCTGAAGCCATTGCCTGTGATGAATCACAGGTCATGCCCCGCCCTGGAGCCTGGCATCCCCGGGCAGGTAAACGCACATCTGAAACACCTTCGGTCCCCACCCATGCAGAGGACACCAACTCATTCCCAAGGTGAGACTTCCCTCCCGCTGCCCTGGACGGGGAAGCTCAGCATTGACCTGCCCTCCTGGCTAAGCTGTTCAGTCAACCGGACTTCTCAGTCGACCCAGGGGCACCAAAAGGCAAGGCCTGGGAGTGGTGGCAGATGGGACCCCTCTACCCTAGCTCATTGCGTGGGGATGCAAACGACCCAGGCTGCCCTGGCCACTAAGCCCCATCGCCCCCACCACTGTGGTATCACTGGGAAGCTGACTTGGTCTGATCACTTGCTTGTTGTTATCTCCCTTGCAGTCTGTGAAGCTCTTGTTGATTGCTTCTCCCTGTCCACCTGGAACAGAGCCTGGCACAGACCGGGTGCTGCATAGGAATGGAGGAGCCAGGACCATCAAGGGGCCACAGTGGCAGCCATGCCCACAATCCTCTAGTCTCAAGTCCCCAGCTGGGCCGGCAGGAAGTCTGTCAGCCTCATGAGTCCCTGTCACCAAGTACTCCAAGGATGCTCCGGGATCTGACAGGGTTGTGGCTCTATGTAAGGCTCTCTCCAGGGCCAGGGGCAGCTGTGGTTACAGCTGCCATTCACAGGTGGAAGTCCCTCTGCCTGCCACCTGCCTTCCTGTAAGATGCCTTTTGGGGGGAAGGGACAATATTGGGAATTGAACCTAGGGCCTTCCCACTGAACCACAGACTTGTGATGTTCCTGCTCCAGCCTCCCAGAGAGCCGCCCCTTCCTTGGCCAACCCGCTCTAGTGCCTGCCTTCCAGTTTGGTCAGGGAGGGAGGATCCTTTAGCAACGCTGCTTAGGCCTAGGTGAGCCCATTATTGCCTTTACACCACAGCCCTCTCCACCCCAGAGCAGTGAGGACCATGGGAAAACGAAGAAGGGCTGAGTCGTGGGGTTTCAGACACAGATGGTTTCCCAAGCCCTATTTCTTGCAGTCTCCAGGCCCAGCCCTCCTTCGGGCAGTTTCCGCCTGGTGCCTTCCTCCTGTGAGTTTCTCTCTGAGGCCCCTCTGCTCCTTGTATCTGGCTTCTGTCTGGTCCTGCCGAGCCTGTTGGGCTTGTTTGGACCTGTCTGAATCCCAGTTTCAGATACCTACACAGAGTGACAGTCCAGCTCCCAGAAGCCCCTGGGTACCACACCCGGGAAGCGCATGGCTGGGCACATCCACAAGGTGGCCACCCACTCACCTCCAGGATCACCTGGGTGCTTTTCTAATTTTTAATTTTTGTACTGTGTTTAGGCCCTCAAGATACCCCTCCTTCTAAAGCAGGCTGGTTAGGAGGGGGAAGATTGAAGACAGAAAAGAAGAGGCACAGCATGCGCAAGGGAAGATGTGGGGTTACGTCACAGGACTGCACAAAAGCCTGAGCCTATGAGACTTCACTTGCCAACAACAGGACCTAACACTAGGTAACTCAGAGAGGAGTTGGTTGGGAGGATATCTGGAGTTTTAGAGAACTGGTGAGATAAATAGGATCAGAAAATTAGCAGAATGATAGGCGTGGTGGTACACACTTATAATATATAGTATTAACATGATTAATATGACATAATATCATGATAGCTTTTGGGGTGGTTAAGGCAGGAGGGTCACAAGTTCCAGGCCAGACCGGGCGACTTAGCAAGATCTTGTCTCAAAATAAAAGATAATTAGCCATGTGTGTACAGGCACACGCCTGTAATCCCAGCACCTCGGAGGCTGAGGTAGGAGGATTGCTGTGAGTTGCAGGCCAGCCTGAGCTACACAGCGAGGCCCTGGGTCAAAAAACAAAACATAATCCAAAACAAAACCAAAATTAAAAAGGGCTGGGGATGTAGATCAGTGGTATAGCCAGTGGAATGTCATTCAGTCATAAAAAGAATGAAGGACTGTCATTTGCTGTAACTTGGATGGAACTGGAGAATATTGCATTAAATGCACGAAGTCATGCATAAACACAAGAGCCACATAGTCTAACTTAGATACGGAATCTGAAAGAGCTGACCTCAAAGAAACAGAGACTGCAGCAGAGGTTACTAGTGCCTAAGGAAAATGTGTGTGGCAAGGGGCTTGGAGAGAGGACAGTTAACAGGTACAAGGGTGACAGGGTGGGTAATTTCTAATGTTATAGCACAATGATCTTGGATAACAATGAATTGAATATTTCAAAACAGCTTGTAGAGGGGATTAGAACGCTCCTGAAACAGAGAAATGATAAACCTGAGGTGACGAAAGTATCAATTACTCTGATTTGAATTTTTTTTTTTGTACTAGGGATTGAACCCAGAGCCCTTGCACTGAGCTACACCACCAGCCCTTATTATTATTATTATTATTATTATTATTATTATTATTTTAAATTTTGAGATGGGATCTCACCAAGTCACTAAGTTGCGCAGGTTAAACCTGAACTTAGTGATCCTCTTGCCTCAACCTCCCAGAGTGCTGAGATTACAGTGTGCACCACCGTGCTGGACATTTTTTGTTTGTTTCTTTGTTTGATATAGGGTCTCAGTAAGTAGTCCAGGCTAGACTCAACCTGGCTATGCAACCCAGGCTAGCCTTGAACTTAAAATCCTCCTGCCTCAGCCTCCTGAGTGCTGAAGTTACAGGCGTGCCTGGCTAAAAGCTATTACCCTCTGCGTACTAAGTATATTCTAGGCTAAATACTCTACATCATCGTATCTTTCTTTTCCCTTTCTTTCTAACTTTTCTTTCTTCCCCTGACGTTCTGAGTATTGAACCCAGCGCTTTTGGCATGCTCGGTGAAGGCTGTACCAGTGTGCCACATTCCAGCCCCTCCAATTACTCTTATCTCATCATTACACACTGTCGCACCACACCCTATAAATATGTACAATTATTATCACTTAATAATCACTATCGGGGTTGCTATGTGCGAAGCCCTCAGCTGAATGATTGATGTGCTGTAATAGCTCCCCGAGTCCTCAGGAACCGTCATTGCAGACTTGGAAACATGTCACCTGCTAGGTCCTGGCAGAAACCTGATTTGAGCTTGGCAAAGAGGAGGCTGGAGAGAGCCCGGAGCTGAACAGGGGACAAGGTTACGTGGGCAGGGCTGCGGAGAGGTCATGAGGGAGGAATCCACTACCCCCACCACACACACACACCACTACAGGGCTGTGCTCCTCTAAGAGCTGTGGGGCCAGGTTGGGTAGGTTTACAGGGGACTCTGAAGCCAGGCAGAGCAGAAGGCGTGTGCATTCCCGTACCTCAGTGCATCAGGCTGTCCTCTGGCCCGCAGGTCTCAACAGTGCTTTGAGAAATGCTGAGAAGGCAGCTTGGAGCCTCACAGGTGTCCACCCCCGCTTCATGCAGAGGCCCAGAGAGGGCAAGCTATGGTGTAAGGACGCACAGCAGCAAGGGTTGAGCAGAGGCCTTGAAATCCGAGATTTCCTGAAGACCGGCACGGCCTGCCGGACTTTTCCAGGCCAGCACTGGCTCACACAGGGTGCCTCTGCTCTTCTGCCAGTGACACAATGAGGGAAGCGGGGACTCACTCAGGACCACTGCCTGACTCCTCTGTGCCCTAAGTGACCCACGTCCAGTGAAGATCCCGAATTCAGTCACTGTCTTCCTCCTCCTGTTCCCCTCCTCCTTTTGTGGTTGAGATATCACAGGTAGACTGTGCATCTCACCCTCTCGAAGTGGACAATTCAGACTGGGCCCATGCCTGTAATCTCAGCATTCTGGGAGGATGAGGCAAGGAGATTGCCAAGTTCTAACCCAACCCAGGCATCTGGGCGACATCTACTCTCATTTCTGTCTCTATGGAGATAGTGATTGGCTTCTTTCACTTCACACAATGTTTTCAAGGTTCATTCATATCATGGCACAATCAGTACTTTATCCGCGCCCCCCCCCCACTAGGACTGAACCTGGGGCTTTGTGCTGGCTGGACAAGCACTCTGCCACTAAACTACACTGTCGGCATTCGTTGCTTTTGCTTTCGAGATAGGTTCTCACTATGTAGTTCAGCTTAGTCTTGAACTCACAGTGATCCGCCTGCCTCAGTTTCCCAAGTGCTGGATTTCAGGGGCGTACTGCCACGCCTGGCTTTGAAACTGCATTTTGATGGCTGGTGGAAGATGCTATTGGTGCCCTGACCAGCTCCCTTTCTCCAGCAGGTGCTTCTGTTCCCCAGCTGCTCTGAGTGTTGACCGCTGCCTTCCCCAGACAACCGCCCTCATCCAAGGGATGCTGCCTCACCTGGGAGGTTACGAGACCCCTTGCGCCCTACCCACCCCGCAGGCTGATGTGATGGCTGATACAGAGACACAAAAAGTTGGCCTCCATTTGTGAGCTATCACTATGGTGTGATTTAGATTCTAGAGCGTGCATACACACAAGCACACACGAGAGCCATTTTACTGTGGCGAAATCCTCGGCCCCTCCCCTCCCCTGTTGGGCACCCTTCCCTCGACTCCGCCCAGAGACTCCTGTGTACCCCGCTCAGGGACTCAGCCTAAGATAATAACATTTTACCTGAGCTTGAAAAACTATCCTCAATATCTAGCATTTCTCCCTCTTACACTTGAGGATGGAAATAGCGGTGGGGAAGACTAAACTCTCCCCGGTGCTCCTCTTCCACTGTCCCTGTGGCTCAGCTCCCTGAGAGTACTTTCCAGGCCACAGTGCACACCCTTTTGTGCCGCTTCACACTTCTCCTGTCCTTGAGGCCATTTTTAGTTACTATAACAAAATACCCAAAGCCAGATCCTTTATAAAGCCAAGAGGTGTGTGGCCCACAAAAACTTGCTTTCTTCTAAAATGGAATGCTATACGCCCATTAAAAATGAACAGTATAAAAGCTACCTGCAGTGATGCACGTCTAGGCTGCATAGTGAGTTCTAGGTCAGTCTCAGCTACATAGTGAGACCCGGTCTCAAAAACAAACAAGCAAACAAACAAACAAAATATATATACAGTACATAGCCAGGAATGATGATGCATGCATGCCTGCAATCCCAGCTCTTGGGAGACTGAGGCAGGAGGATTGTAAGCCTGAGTCCTAGCCTGAGTGGGGAATAGTTATCTCCACAGTAGAATCCGGAAAGCCAAGAAGTTGAGATGGGAGGGAAACATTTTATGCTCTACTTTGTTGTTGTTGTTGTTATTGTTGGCAGGAAGGGGTGTTCCATCACTGAGCTGTCTCCCCAGCCACTTTTACTTTTATTTTGAGTCAGGGTCTCACTTAGTTCTCCGGGATTGCCTCACACTTGTAATCCTCCTGCCTCAGCCTCCCGAGCACAGGCATGCACTACCGCACTGGGCTACTCTATGCTTTCTTATCTTTTGAATTCTGTACTATGTTCACAGTTCATCCAGGCAAGGAATACATAATCTTTAATGATTTTTTTTGTGATACCGGAGAAATATATTTTTGAATGCATGAACGAACCAACAGTCAAAAGGCAAGTTCTCTGCCAATTAAACTTTGCAGATTGGATTTGAGCAAAGCAGGGCAGAGCAAACATGATTTGCAATGCGGGCAGCTTCTCAAACCAGAACACGTTCTGAGGACGACGACAGCTAACAGTGCGATCCTGCAGCATTTAGAGAGAAACAGGAGCGAGGCCTAGAGTCCGGCCTCTCTGGCTGCAGCTCCATCAGCCAGGCCACTTGTTATAGCTTGGTCAGTTGGTGCCACCGACCTGTGCAACTGTCCGGAGCTCAGTCATTAGGCTTAAGCGCTGTCCTGGTTTGGTCTGACGGGACCGGCTCTGGTCCGCAGACCAAACCCAAGTCCTCCCACAAGTTTTATTTTATTTTACTTTGTGTGATACTGGGAATGGAACCCGGGCTTCACACACTGCGGTGCTGGACAAACGCTCTGTGGCTGAGCTCCAATCCCAGTCTCTCTCTTTTCATTTTGAGCCAAGATCCCCCTAAATTCCCCAGATTGGGCTTGAATTTGCAATCTTTTCTCATCAGCCTTCCACGGAGCTGGGGTTACTGGCGTGCACCACCAAGCCTGGACTATACATTTCCCCCTTTTCATTTTCTTCATGAATTTCACTTAACAGACTAGCTGGGTCCTGAAAAAGCAGCCCCATTCATGCATCTGTACAAGAACCGCTGGCTGGGGTCTTGCTTAGCCAGCAAGTTCCTTCCTTGCTTGAGTGTGTGGATGTGACGTGACGCCCATAGCTTTCTACCCCACTCTCTGATGCCCTGTCCTTGAGACCGGCGAGATCAGAGAAACCCGAGGCATCTCCCAGTCATCAGCCAACCTCTCACAAACCAGCACAGGGCAGTAGAAAGACTGCGAGACTTAATTGATTAAACGTATTTCCAAAGCCTTAGAAAAAAACAGTGAACAAAACCCCACGCAGCTGAATGCCGTGGCCCACGCCTGTGATCCCAGCCCTCGGGGAGGCCGAGGCAGGAGGATCACAAGTTGGAGTGTAGCTCGCGCAGCTTAGTGACTTGAGACCCTGTCTCAAAATTAAAAAATTAAAAAATAAAAGGGATGGAGATGTAACACTAAGTGCAAGGGTCCCGTGTTCAATCTCTAGGACCACAAACAAAAACAAAAACAAAATCAACATACCATGACCCAGGAATTTCATTGCTAGGAGTTTTTCTAAAGAAACAATGAAGGATTATGCATAAAGCTTTAATTACACAGATATTCACTGAAGAATTCACTGAAGGGATTTAGCTCAGGGGTCCCTCTGCCTGCCTCGAAAGCGCAAGGTCCTGAGTTTGATCCCCGGCGCTAGAGAATGGACTTTGACAAGCCAGTCAGCGCTCGTGTGAGGCACTGTGCACGTTCCTTATGCAGTTTTATGCTTATTTATTTTTGCAGTGCTGGGGATGGAGCCCAGGGTCTCCCATATGTTAGGTCAGCTCCCTACTCTGGAACTACCCCCATAGCCTGTTCTGTGCCATTTTTCTTTTCTTTTGGTACCGGGAATCAAACTCGGGTCCTTGAGCTTGCGAGGCAGGCAGCAGAACCACTGAGCTAAATCCCTGGCCCTCCGTTCAATTTTTAAAAAGTTGTTTAAAGAAAAAAGGAAAGGACAGGGATGTCTAGTGCAGGCAGAGCTGGGTTCAAATCCCAGCCACATAGCAGGAATCTCCCTGGTGAGGGATTTTACTTGCTGCAGTCAGTTACCCATGCCTCACCCAGGTCTGAAACGATTAAATGGAAAATTCCAGAAATAAATAATTCATAAGTTTGCCATCATTTTTCTCATGGTATATTAATATGTGTTCTATTTTATTAGTTATTGCTGTTACCACTTACATACATGCACACACCTCTAAAAAAGCACAGTACATAGAAAGTTGGGCACTGTGTGGTTTCAGGGTCTTGAACTGTGTCCCCAGCAGGTAGAGAAGACTACTGTCCTTAGGAGCGGTGTGAACTCTATCTACTCATTGACCTCTCTGAGCCTTTGTCTCTTTGTTATGGGAAATGCGGATACTATCACATCCCTTGTGTTAATTAGGACTGACTCACTACTGCAAGGCCAAAAGTCCTGCAGCTGGGACTGGAGATTCAGCTCAGTGGTTCCACCGCCTGCCTCACAATCACAATCGCAATTGCAAGGGCCCATTTTTGATCCCTGGTACCAAGAAAAAGTTCTCTGGCTTTAACATAACAAGGGTGCGTTTCATTCTCACAGAGTCAGATGCAGGAGCCCCTGGTCCCTTCTTGTTACTGATGGCTTTAGGGACCAGGTTTTTTTCCATCAGAAGGTGCCCATCCTAAACTCCTTTGTCCCTTCCACGTGGATATAGGGAATGTGAAGGCTCGGCCCAGATGTGGACGTCTTCTGGCCTGGCTGGTGGAGGGGCACCGCCCTCTGTCCATCAGCTGCATGAGGCACGTGACCCTCTGTGGACACCAGGGGCTGGGAAATGGAGCCTCGCCAGTGCCCCAGAGGAGGAAGTGAGCCTGGAGAGCCTTGGACTTTGTCCCTGCACACACCCCGGGGTCTCCTTAGAGAGAAGGAATGAAATAAGGTTAATGAAATGGGCACGGTGGCACAGGCCTATAATTCCAGCTACTGAGGAGGCTGAGGCAGGAGGATTGCAAGTTCAAGTTCAGCCTGGGCAACTTAGCAAGACCCCATCTCAAAACAAATAAAAAACAAAAGCCAAAAAAAAGTGAGGGAGGGGGTAGCTCTGTTGTTCAGCACTTGCTCAGAAGGTGGGAAGTCCTGGGTTCAAGCCTCTGTACAGAAGAAGGAAAAAAAATAGAGGAGAAAGGAAAGGTACATAATGTACGTAATGCTCAAATGTGTCAGCTGCTTGTGGTTGAGACTACCCTAACTCTTCGAAATCCGCACCCTCCCAAGTTTTATAAGCCAAACTGTTTACACTTGGTGGAGGGAGAGGGTGGGGTCCATTTAAAACAGCCCTGGAGAAAAGATCACTCATTCTACCATTAGGTCCTCATCTCACCCAAAGAACCCTCCAAGTTGGGGATGGTAGCACACATCTGTCATGCCAGCACTTGGGAGGCTGAGGCAGGAGGATCACTATGAGTTGGAGGCCGCCTTGGCTGCACAGTGAGTTTAAGGCCAGCCTCAAAACAAACAAACAAAAAAGCCAGCGAGCATCACCAAGGAACCTTCCAAAAAGATGCACTATAATCTGACCATGTTGGTCTGCACAGAGCCTTCAGTGGCTCCGCATTGCCTTAAGGGCCAAGTCTAACTGTCTCACTCCTGCAGGATCTGCCCCAGCGCTGCCTGCCCTGTGGCCTCCCGCATGATGTCCACACTGCAGCTTGGAGAATGTACCTTGCTCCCGTTTGCCCTGGGCTTTTCCTCTCAGCTCTCTGCGGCACAGCCTTGGCGCTCACCCAGGCCTTCCTCAGGGAAGTCTCCTGACCCTCTCATTCAGCTCCCTCTGCCGCCTCTCCCTGGTGACATCCTGCTTTGAGGATTTAATTTCTGTCTGTCCCATCACATTATAAACTTGGGAGGGGAGGGAGAAGCATTTATTTTGTTGACCACTGTCTGTACCCAGTGCTTTATTTTCCTCATCTGTAAAATTGCTGTTGTTGTCGAGTCGTATTCTATAGTGCAGATATCCCAAGTTGTGTTTACCCATTCACTAGCTGACGGTCATTTAGGTTGTTTCTGATATTTAGCTACAACAAAAGTGCTGCAAACATTTGTGTACAACTACTGTGTACAGGTGGGCTTTTGTTTCCCTAAGCTTTTTTTTTTTTTTTTTTTTT